TGAATGAATAAATGAATAAATAACTCAGTGAATATGTTTCAACTTACCTGAACTATCTTAGTACTTGGAGTTTGTATTTTATTTTTGGTCAAATAGGACATGCCTAGAAGCCCCCCTACTCAAAGTCTAGACCTTTAGTAAGAAATCTTACCATATGTTATCTAACCAAGTGTTTATGCATAGCACTCATGACTGGAGAGATTATTTCCCATGTAAACCCGTGTTCTTAACCTTTTCATTCTTACAGGTCTTGAACTTCTTGTCATTTTTAAATTTACTGTTTAGTTTTTCTAATACTAGGAATTTTTTTTTTAACCAATTCTAAAAAGCAGAATTTTTCACATTTCATTTTTTCTGAAATTGCAATATAGCTTATAGGTGATGGATACATTTGATATGGTAGGATGTCTTTCCCCAAAGCTGTTAATCTTTAGATATATTGTTCATTTTCTAAGAGATATCTTCTTTTAATTAATTTATTTTTTAAATATTTTATTTATTTTTATTTTATGTGTACCTGTGTATTGCCTGCATGTAGGTAAGTGTACCCATGTCGTGCAGTGCCCACGGAGGACAGAAGAGGCTGTTGGATCCCCTGGAACTGGAGTTATGGATAGTTGTTAGCTGCCATGTGGGTGCTGGGATTCAAACCCAGGTCCTCTGCAAGAACAACCAGTGTTCTTAACCGCTGAGCCATCTCTCCAGCCCTCTAAGAAGTATTTAAGTCTACCTGTATCTTTTATAATAGAAATATGGTGACTTTGATATTGGCCTTCAATAAGACCAGTTTATAATTAACATCTGTTGTTACTTTTCTACAGTAGCAACTGCTAGATATAATCTCTTCCATTTTGAGACAGTTTACTTAGCAGGTTCTCTCTGCTGAAAATATAACTGTTACAAATGTTTTTCCTTTAATCTTTTTAAAAACAAAAGAAGGGGACTAGAGAGATGGCTCAGCAGTTAAGAGCACTGACTGCTCTTGCAGTGGACCTGGGTTTGCTTTTCAGCACCCCCATAGCAGCTAACAGCCTTCCATAACTCCAGTCCCAGAGGATCCAACACCTTCTTCTGATCTCTGTGGGCACTGCTCAACACAGTTGCACTTACTTACATGCAGACAATACATTCATACACATAAAATGAAAATAATGAAGAAAAACAAAAAAGCAAAAGAAGAGAAAAATAAATAGCTGTTAGGCAAAATAAGGACTTAACTGTTTTCTGTCTCAAACCTGGAAACAGGGACTAGAGAATTACAGTAAATGGAGTAAGCTGTTAAATACATAGCTTGTGCAACTGGCACAATAAGAGCAGATGGAAAAATAGCTGTGTATAGTGGGGATGAGGAGCTTTAACTTTTCTGAATCTTTGCTTTTTTTCAAACACTCTTACAGAAAATACTGTAGGAACTCAGGAAACTGCAGCTGAAGAAATACAATACTTGCCAGCTGGTAAAGATACACTGTCTCTTTAAGCAGTTGAGCTCTGGGTTCCCATATACACCCAGAGACATTAGCTTTGCCCTGATCACCATTAAAGTATTGTCAATTTGTTTGTGGTTATATAAATTCTACTTTAAGCTAGATTCAGTAGAATATTTTTATACAATTTTTTTATATTATTATTTTTATGAAAAATGCTTTTGAGAAATGATGAAACATTGAAAACAAGAATCGGCTGTCTTTGCTTTCTAAATGAAATTCTATACTATTTATTGTTGGGGTTTTTTTTTTTTTTGGTCAGCATTGAGTTACAGCTACAAGAACTAGGTCCTGTCATTCGTAGTGGTGTTTACTCCCATCTCGAAGCTTTTGTGCCATGCAATAAAGAAACACTGGTGAAGCGTCTGAAGAAGCTCCATCTCAATGTGCAGGTGAGTGCAAAGGTATCCACACCTGGGGATTTATAACCAGTAAAGCAAGACAGTTGTTTGCTTGGAGCCTTTGTGTATTAATTAGAGTGAAATCTGTTTTTACTGCTGAGTACTAGTGTTGATGGATATTTGAAATTTCCCAGTAAAATAATCTTAGCTATGAATTCTCTACCCCCCTCCCCACCCCCCAATCAGATATTAAAAACTGTTGTTTCAGGACTGGAGATTAGCTCAGTGGTAGATGGCTTGCTTAGCGTGCCCCACTGGTCTATATAGTGAATGCTAGGCTAGGCCAGCCAATGCTACTTTGTAACCTTGTTTCAAAAAAACAACAAAAACTCTTGTTTTAGTAAAGAAACAAAGTCTTCAGTCATTTCTGGACCTATGATCGTGACATGTTTTAGGTATTTACATATATCTGCAAGATGAAAATAATGTTGCTGCTTACAACTGTCAGATATAAACATTTTTGTTTTCCCTTTTTAAAAATGAACAATATGGAGAAGAATTTCTGTTTTCTCTTTCACTTTGACCTTGAGCTTACATTTTTTGCTTACAGCATAAATCATAATTACTAATAACTGGGAAAACAGGGTGCCAAAATTCTGTTGGCAGTCACCAAACCAGCATGTGTTTAGTGTTCCAGAGCAGTGTCTTCTAATGCTGTTTCTCCATCATGTGGAAATTGAACAGCAGTTTGCTCTAGGGCATCATTTGTATTGTTAAATATTCAGATAATATATTGGTCAAAACATGGGGTCATTTTTAAGACTGTAAAGGAGCACTGTTACTAGATAGCAGGCAAAACCTGGGAGTCTACGTAGCATACTGGGAAATACGATTATCCTAATTCTATATCCAGTGCACGTTTTAAAAAGTCAGTGCTGGAGAAGTCTCCCTATTTAGATAATAAGTCAAGCCTTATCAATATGTGAAACATAATTTCATCATGCTATTGAGAATCTGCTTATAGAATGAATTTTGTTAAGATGTTTGAAAAAACTCCAAATATATCCTTTCAGGATGATCGTTTAAAAGAACCTCTGCAAAAACTGAAACTGGCTGTTAGCAATGTGATGCCCGAACAGCTCTTTAAATACCAGGAAGACTGTCAGGCTCGGAGTCAAGCTAAGTGTGCCAAGTATGTACCTCAAGCTCAGAGTGCCATATATGTACCTTTTCTGTTTGAGATGGCTTTGGCATTTGAGACTCACTTTTAGCTGTTGTTCTTAAATGGTTCTCCCCCCTCAATTAAAAACCCACATACATCCGGGCATGGCGGCACACACCTTTAGTCTCAGCACTCAGGAGACTAAAGCAGGCGATCTTTATGAGTTCAAGGCCAAGTCTGGTTTACATAGTGAGTTTCAGGCCAGTTGGGGCTACAAAGACATGCCCAAAAACCCCCACAAAATATCTGCATACATTATCAAAATGATGTAATTGGATATTTTCTCAAAATGACATGCCACTTTCCACTCAATTGCTTTGCTGACAAAAGCAAAAGGCTTTGTTTTGGTTAGATTAAAACAAGAGCCCGGGCAGGTATGACTGAAATCCCAGCAGTTAGGAGGCTTTGTCATACATATTTTTTAATCTGTTTTATAAGCTGTAGGTTAGCCTCAACTTCAGAGTGAGAACCTGTCTCAAAAACAACAAAATCAAGAGCCAGCACTGGCCAAGCACTTCTAACCAACTTGACTAAGCCAGGGCTAAACTTTTTTTTTTTAACCTAAAAGATGGGTATTGGTGCCTTTATTTTATAGTTCTAAGGCCCACTTATGAAAACAAGTTATACTTACTCTAAATTAAAAGTACTATGTGGATATATAGGTTCCCCATTTATTCTTGTTTTGAGTTAACATTTGACTAAGCAACTGAAGTACTGGACGATATCATAAGCAATGTTGGGTTAGAACCTTGGCTTCACAAAATGGTTTTCATTTTTTAGGTTGCAAACAGATGAAGAACGAGAGAAAAATGGATCTGAAGATGATGATGATGAAAAACCAGGGAAACGAGTCATAGGCCCAAGAAAAAAATTCCATTGGGATGATACCATTAGGTGAGATTTATTAGTCAGTCTTCAGTGTTAGTCAAATATGTAAGGGAGAAAAGAATCTACAGTAAGTGTGGACTAGATTAAAAGCAACCAAAGATTAGTGTGTAAGAAAAATTGATTGAAGAATATTAATCTGGTTCTGGTATCCTTAGAGTGTTAGCATTTGTATTTTCTTATACATTCTGTAAGCTAATCTCATAATGGAGTGAATCACACTATTTACAAAAGGTGAGCTGTTTACCTGTGTTAATCAGTTGTCTTGGTATACCCAGGAGAAAACTCTCTCTTTCCATCTTTGATCCCTTTAAATTAAGATGTCAAAGGAACATTGTTTTCCTGTTGGAGTTTGACTATAGACAGTGAATGATAGATGTTAGAAATTATCTCGTCTGGATTCTTCACCTAACATTCTTTATTGCTGTCAGATTCATGTGCTTTAAATACATGTTTCAAATCTAGTTTTCTACAATTTTTTAATTAGATATATATGTCATATGTATTTTTTAATCTCTTCAGAACCTTGTTGTGTAACCTCGTTGAGATCAAATTGGGATGCTATGAGTTAGAGCCAAATAAAAGTCAATCTGCTGAGGATTATCTTAAATCTTTTATGGAGACAGAAGTGAAGCCATTGTGGCCTAAGGGCTGGATGCAGGCACGGTAAGAAATAGCACTTCCTGGATTTTGTTGTTTTTTTGTTTTTTTCGTTTTTTTTGTCTTTTTGAGACAGGGTCTCCCTGTAGCCCTAGCTGTCGTGGAACTCACTATGTAGACCAGGCTGGCCTCAAACTCACAAAGATCTGCCTGCCTCTGCCTCCCAAGTGCTGGAATTAAAGGCGGGTGCCACCACACCCGACTTGTATTTTCTTATTATTGCTGTCGTTAAAGATAACATATGCACACAGCTTATACATACATGACATTGATTTTGCTAAGAACTTAATGTGCTTAGCATGTATTAATATATAGCATTTCAGATTATCAACACTTAACAGAAAGAGACATTAGTCCTATGATTTTGAATAGAGTTAAGAAGATAGGCATAAAGGTATTTTTTTCTGTTTTGTGGTCTGGTTTTTTTTTTTCCTTTTTTTTCTCTTTTAAATTTAAATTGAACACCTTTTTTGCTTCTGAATTTGGTAGTAAAGGGGCCGAGGAAAAGGTCATAAACACTAGGAGGGAAATTTTATGTGGGTAATGTCTAGGTAAGGAGCTACGTACAGAATTTAGAGCCAAGCTGCGTGTGGCAGCATACGCTTGTGATCCCAGGACGCATGAGGAAGAGACAGGATTTCAGGTTGGAAGCCAGCCTATACTGGAGAGTTAAAGGTCAGTCTGGGCCATCTAATTAAACCCATCTCAAGAAACATAAAACCAGGGGCTGGAGAGATGGTTCAGCAGTTAAGAACACTGACTGTTCTTGCAGAAGACCCGGGTTCGAATCCCAGCACCCACATGGCAGCTAACAACTGTCCGTAACTTCAGTTCCAGGGGATCCAGCAGCTGCTTTTGTCCTCCGTGGGCATTGCACGACACATGTGCATTGACCTACATGCAAGCATAACACTCATACGCATTAAATAAAATATTTTTAAAAAAGAAACATAAAACCAAAACCAAAAAAAGGAAAGGGCATAAGAAAAGAAACATAGCCAAAATAGTATAGAGAGCTATGTTGGAAACTAAGAGCAGACCTATTAAAAGTCTCAAGAAAACCCTTTTTTTTAAAAATAGACAGTAGCCCCAGCTAACTTCAGTCTCACAGAGATCTGCCTGTCTCTGCCTCCCAAGTGCTGGGTGGGATTCAATGAATGTGCCACCACCCTGGCTTTTTTTTTTTTTAATTGAATTTTTGTGATTTTCATACAATATGTTTAGGTATTTAGATTCCCCCTGCCCCCTGTTTTTTTGACATGGAGACTCACTGTGTAGCACTGACTTGGAAATCTGTATGTAGGCTAGGATAGCCTGGAACTCAGAAATCTACCTGCCTCTGTTTCTCCAGTGCTGGGATTAAAGATGTATACCACCATGCACAACCCGTCTTAGAAATTTTAGGTAAAGAATGTAAAAAATCTATTATCTTAAAGTCTTAAAGTACCAGCAAAAGTCTTTTCTATTTTGTTAAAACTTCTAAACACATAGAGATGATATAAAAATTTTCATTAAATAATATTATTGAGAATACTGAACCATTACTACTTTTACTTGGTAAATAAGCAAAATTCAAATGACTAAAGATTTTAAGGTCAGCCTGGGCTACAATAGCAAGCTTGAGGCTAGTCTGAGACACATAGCAAGACGCTGTATCCAAAACAAAAACAAACAAAACTGAAGCAATCATCATGTTATTGTCTGCTATAAAAATAAATTTTCTCTTTCTAATCTTTCCAGAATGCTTTTTAAGGAAAGCCGAAGTGTACATAACCATCTTACTTCTGCTCCGTGAGTAAATGCAGACTCTAGATGCATTTGTTTAATTGACAGAGGACTTAAACACACCTTCATGTTACCACTATGGGTTTTTTTTAACGTTGTTTTGATTGCTGCCTTTTTATGAAGCAATCTTAGGCAACTCTCCCAAACCTCCCTCGTCTATGTTATGACACTTGCTGGGATTCGGCTGTAGGGAGCCATGCAGCCGAGACCCTTGGCAGTTTGTGGCCCTTTGCTCCTCGGCCTTCTTCCCCAGCTTTTGTGTGTCCTTTTCTCTACCTCTTTCCTGGCCATTGGCATAAGTAACCTATAGCCTTTGACTGTCCTGAACATACGAGGACAGCACAGTTTACATATCTATCTTGTTTTGCCCATTCACAGTGTTCTTCCTTCTGTAGAAACTGGTGTTTTCTTAGTAAAAGAAAAATTTCTAGGTCTGCAAGTTGGTTCAGTGGTTAAAAAAGGGTTTGCTGTGCAAGTGGTACAACAACATGAGTTGGATCCCTGGAACCCATGGTGAAAGGAGAAAACCAGTTCCCAAAAAGTTGCCCTTTGACCTCCATACATGCACCGTGGCATGCTCATTCAGACAGACACACACACACACACACACACACACTAAGTAAATAAAATATTTTTTCTTTTTTTAATGTTTATATCAGAAGTTGAACTCAGACCCCAGCATATGCTAGGCAAGCACTCTACCACTGAACTCCAGCTCCACATCAGTGAAATTATTATTAAAGAAAGATCCTTTAAGGAAAAGGCCACATTTTTTCTGTGGTTGCTTTCAGGGGTGAATATTGTTCCAATTCCATAACAGTTTTATTTTTACCTATAACTTGGGGCTACTTCTCTGTAGCATATACAGTACAGCATTAAAGAGTTTTATTGGCTGGGGACATAGCCCAGTTGATAGAGTGCTTATTTATTGTACTTGAGTATTGAAGAAGTATTTGCTGTGGATGTATCAGTTGGTAGCTCAGTATGCTTTCCTACTATGAGTGAGGCCCTGAATGGTGATTCCTGTCACAGAAAAAAAGTTACTGAAATATATAAAAGTAGCAGGCTACTGATAATTTGCTGGAAATGGAAATGTTTAGTGTTTAAGAAAGGTACTTCATTAGTGTATCATCAAGGATCTATTGAGTTGTTTGTGGTTTTCAGTTTTTCTTAATTTTGTTTTTCTTTTTTTTTTTCCTTGCTCTGTTACCCATTCTGGTCTTAAACTCCTGGGCTCAAGTTGACCTCCTGCCCCAGCTTCCCAAGTAGCATAGACCATTGGTGCATGCTGCCATGTCTGCCTCCCTTCCAAAGCCTTTTTTCCCCCAGTGCTGAGCATTGCACCCTGGAATTCATATATGGTAGACAAGTGTTCTTCTTCCATTGAACTACTAGCCCTCTCCTTGGGATTTTTAAGGATAGCTCCATTATTATTATTTTTGACTTTGTACCTGAAAGTAGGAATCTGTAGAATAGTTGAACATGTCTGTATTATGTGTTAATGGTTTCCCCCCAAAATTTGGAAAATTACTGTTGTCTTCTTCAAGTTGTATATGGACAGTTGTTTCATGCTGGGTCCCAAAGCTTCCAAATTCCCTGTTTTTAAAATCTTAGTTTGTTTTCATTTTTGTTATTTTGAAACAGGGTCTCACAATCTAGGCCTGTCTGGCCTGGAACTTGCTGTGTAGACCAGACTGGCCTCAAACTCAGAAATGAAAGGCATATACCACCATTCTCTACCTTTTAAAATGTTTGTTTATTTTTGGCTATCATTTTGACAAATTTTTATTTGGATTTTTTACATTTAAAAATAATTTTCAATAAAATCTTAGTTTTGGGTTTTTTTTTCTTAAGCAAAATGTTCTATATATGATGTTTGTAACCTTTCCCTGATTTAAGTTTGAAGTGCCTTGAAGCCTATTTTTCTACAACTAATTGAGATTCTCGTCAGTTTTTTTAAGTGAGGCAGCTCTGTTAACCTGTTTTGTATTATTTTATATTTTATGTATTTATATGTTTTTTTTAAAAAAAACTTTCTCGGGGCTGGAGAGATGGCTCAGTGGTTAAGAGCACTGACTGCTCTTACAGAGGACCCAGGTTCGATTCCCAGCACCCACATGGCAGCTGCGAACCGTCTTTAACTTCAGTTCCAGGGGAATCCGAAGCCCTCTTCTGACCTCAGTGGCATTGCACGACACGGGTGCACTCACATACATGCAGGCAATACACTCATACACATAAAATAAAAACAATAAAGAAAATATTAAAAAAAAAAAAAACTTTCTCATCCACAATATATTTTAGTAATTACTTGACCTTTTAGTTAATCTGAATTGGAGAAATGTTGTTGAAAATTCAAATGTAAGCATCATATTTATTGATAGTTCTTTCCTTTAAAGAGCTTTCTACATAGTTGGAAAAATTATTTACCCTCATAATTAGGGGGTTCTATGTTAGCATTTCATACTGGCTCATTTAACTGCTACTGAAATGGCCTTCATTTTAATCTTTTATCTTAGGGCAAAGAAAAAGGTGATTCCTGCACCTAAGCCCAAAGTCAAGGTAAGAATTTATCAAATCTGTAACCAGTCATAACTGGTGAGTGTTGAAATACAGTCTTAAAATGAAAAGGATGTTTTAGCAGAGATTAATAGATGCTATACTAAGTTGTATTTTCAACTCCATAAAAGTCTTCAGACTTTTTTTGGGGGAAAGCAATAGCTGTGTAGTTATGGGGAATTTGCACACATCAATTAGAAATACTGGATAAAATATACAACTGTTCTTTAAACACATAGCTGAGATTGTAAGTACATAAGACTTCCAGAGCCAAAAGCCTAGAAGGAGCCACCAAGGTGTACTCTATCTCCGAGACCTTCGTTGCCCTTGGAGCTCCTGTCCATACTGTGATCACTTTATTTTATCACTTTATTTCAGAACATAGCAGGTAGCATTTTCTTCGGGTAGTACAGGTCAGAAATAGAAAATAAATCAGTATAAAGATGAGCCCTTGAATGAATAGCATCTTTAGTGAAAGAGAAGACTAGGGAAAAAAAAATCCACCTGGCAGAAAGATTAAGAGCATTTTCTGACTTGGCCAAGATTCTAGATGAGGGAAAGAAAGTCCTCCCTGAAAATTTCCCATGTTAGAGGAGTTTAATTTATATTATTTGCACAATCTGGTAAAACTCAAAGCTGACAGTAACTTTTAAGTTGCTGTATTAGTAATAACCTAGGACAACAGGCACCAGAAAATTCTGTATTATGTAACATTTCACATTTTAGACTTACCATTTATAACATGTGAAAAGTACAAACTATAGATCGAATTCAGACAGAGCATGTACTTGGCCTGCCTGAGGCTCTGGGCTCAATCCCCAGGACCACAAATACCAACCGCCCATGTGCACAGTCTGAAGAATATGTGAGGGAATATGTTACTGTAAGTTAGAGTCAGTGAACCACGAACAGCAAAAATAAATAATCTAAGAGGACAAGTGGTAAGATTTGTTGGTTTAGAATATAAAATACCTAGACATGGTGGTAACGTGTAATCTCAGCACTCTGGAGGCAGAAGCAGAAAGAGTGCAGCAAGTTCAAGGCCCATCTGATCTACGTAGTTTCAGGCCAGTCAGGGCTGCAGCAGTGAGACCCTGTCTTAAGTCTCCCTCCCCTAAAAACCAAAAAATAATCTTAACAGTGCCTAGAGAAGCAGGTTTGTGGACCTTCCTCCCTGCTTCTTCCTATTCTTTGGCTAAGAACAAACCTCCTTTCAGTGCTTAAATTAATATTTGTTTCTGCTGTTCCTTTTGAGATAGGGTCTCACTATGTAGCCCTAGCTAGCCTAGAATTTGCTATTCAGACCAGGCTGGCCTCAGACTCATATAGAGATCTGCCTGCCTCTTATCTCCTGAGTGCTGGGATTAAAGGTGTGGGCCACCATGTCTTAAAATTAATATTTACAGTAGAAAAGTAATAAAAATATCCCTAATGGAGCTGGAAAGATGGCTCAGCAGTTAAGAGCACTGGCCACTCTTGCATAGTTCCCACATGAAAGCTAACAGCTATCCATAACTCAAGTTCCAGAAGATTTGATGCCTTCTTCTGACTTTTATGGGCTTTGGATACACAGGTGCACTTACATACATAAACACATGCAAAATACATACATAAAATAAAAATTAAAAAATTTAAAAAAATTAATTAAATTAAGCCGTCATTACTTTTGGCATAAATGTATCAATTTTATAAATATGAATGGATGTTCCCCAAGTATTTAATGTACATGGAAATAGTTTTTTTTCCTTTCAAATCA